TTTAAGTCACATTTCGTCCTCCAGGGAGGGCTGTGTCAGAACCTCGGGCACATCCCCAACCAGGAGCTGACAGGCACATCAAGCTGAGCGGAGGGAGCCAGGAAGCCATCAAGGCGGCCAAGTCGCTCAGGTGCCGGCGCATGTGCGAGACCCCAGTCAGCCCAGTTTGGAGCCGGCATGGTCGACTATGCCTCCACCTACCATGTCATGGTGAGGGTGAAGGACGCCAAGGCCAAGACACTTGCAGCAGCCGTGAGGGACTACTGGATCGCGTGGGCGGGACCTCCCCGAACCTTCTCGTTGGACCTGGACAGCGGGTTCAAGAACGTCTTCGAGGACATGTGCTATGACATCGGCGCTTACATGTCCCACTCCGCGGGGACAGCCCACTGGCAGCATGGACTGGTCGAGAGGCGCAACGCTGTCTGGAAAGACATCTGGGACAGACTCGTCGAGAGCGAGGCCGTGACGGAGAGCGAGGTGGCGTGGGCCATGGCGGAGGTGTCGAATGCGAAGAACCAGCTTCGCAACAAAGATGGCTACTCGCCACGGCAGTGGGTCTTCGGACAACCCGAGGCTCCCTGGAGACGTGGTCGATGGGGCCAATGACCTCTCCGCCCTGAGCAGCTTCAGCATCGACTCGAAGCTTCAGCGGCAGAACGCCATCCGTCAGGCGGCCAGGATCGCTTTCTTGCAGGTGCAGACCAGTGAGGCTGTTCAGAGGGCAGTTGCGCACAAGAGCCGGGTGAGGAAGTACAACTTTGAGCCTGGCGACCTGGTCTATGTTTTCCGCGAGCGGCGGCCCACTGTCAAGGGGAAGCGCGCTCAGAAGCAGTGGCTTGGTCCGTGCACCGTCGTGGGCACCGAAGACCAGAACTTCTGGGTGTCCGAGGGCGGAAGGTGCCTGCTGTGCGCCCCGGAGCACCTGAGACCGGCCGAGGCCAGCGAGATCTCCGAGCTGCTCAAGATCAAGGCGGCCATGGGGGACATCCAAGCGCTCATCGACGAGGACAAGAAGCTGGGCGTTGGGTTTGCCCCGAACGAGTCAGTGGACATCCCGAAGGGGATGGGCAACGAGGAGGCGGCGCCGAAGGAGGTCTTCCACGACAACCGGACAGCCGTGGGGTGCCTGAGCTGGGTGGCGAAGGAGACGAGGCCAGACCTGGCTTTTGCGGCGAATGTGGCCCAGTCGCGACAGAACGCCCCAAGCATCCGGGACATCAAGGTGACAAACGCCGCGGTGAAGCAGGCCCGGGAATATCAGGACTTTGGGGTGATGGTCGCCCGGATCCCGATCAAGGACATGTCCATCGTGGTGTACCACGACGCGGCCTGGCGGAACGTCGACCTGGAGGACGAGGACCTGGGCGATGTGACGGGACACAAGGTCGGCTCGCAGCTCGGCTACTTAATCATCGGGAAGAGACCCGGAGCTGCCAGCCTGCTGGCCTGGAGATCCCACACATGCCGGAGGGTGTGCCGCTCGACTTTCGCAGGAGAGACGATGGCGTGCTGCGAAGGGATGGAGTGCGCCATTCAAATGCGGGCCCAGCTGCTTTCCCTGAAGCTGCGCAGGCTGGTCTCTGAGGACGAGGCGGCAAGGATGATCCCGGTCCACGCGGTCACGGACTGCCGGTCGCTTTTCGACTTCGTCCACCGATGTGGGGCTCCGAAGGCGACGGCCGACAAGCGGCTAGTGATCGACCTGGCTTCGCTTCGCCAGATCTTCTTGAACGAAGCCCGAGGATGGTGGCACCGAGAAAGAGGGACGGACAAGCCTGCCGTCGGCGACCCGCTGAAGATCCCGCTCCATTGGGTGCCGAGTGAGTGCCAGCTGGGAGATGTGCTGACAAAGCAGCTCAAGCCGGAGGCTTGGTGTTGGTGGAAGGTCATTTTGGCCCCTTTCTTTTTGGCCGTGCATGTGCACAACCGGCTCTGACGCATCAAAGAGATGCGGTAGTTTTGGACCCGTGTCAATATGATTGTGACATGGTGG